CAGACAAGATGTATGCTGAAGATAAGAGGAGCACGCTTGGAAGTTAGAAAGATGCAGATCTAAGACATACAGTGGCAAGAGGATTGGTTTTTTTTTTTTTCAAATCCTTTCATAGGTTCAATTTTCTCTTGTCATTTCTAACTTGATTAGTTTTTCCTCTGTGTCTTTTTATGAGATTAGCCTTTTTATGCTGTTCGACCACAAAGATCTGATTGTTGGATTACAAAAACGACTACCATCCAAAAGTAAAATCCTTCTACTCAAACAAAAACAAGTTTGTCTCTCCAGGAAATTTGACCACCGGCTTGTTGGTAAAATAAGCTCACAATCCATGATCACTAATTACAGCTGTACAAGCAGATTTAGGAGGAGTGTTAGAAGGTCAACAGCTTTTTTCAATTAAACATTTTAGAGGCTGCCGGGGTTTGCGTGCCTCATGTACCTTAAAAAAAAGGTATTTTTTACAAGTTCATTTATTCCTTTTAGGCATATATAGCACACTATTCCATGTAGGCTCTATTTCAATTTAATTTTGAGTGTCATACTCAAACATTAAAATATATGTGACTGGGATGCTTTTTTTATTTCTTTTTCTTTTTTTGAGAAAAAAACATGGAGCCATTTATCTCTACCACTGAATGAAAAATTATAACCTTCTCAAAGAAGCATTCAAAAAACCCATAAAGATTAAAATCGATGTTGTTTCTTGCTGTTGTTTAATATTCTACTACTCTACAGCTGAAGTCTGCATCAGCAGGACATTTTATTCATCTTTTTTTAAGAGTGTTATTCAGCAGCGGTGGATGTGGTAAATGGGTTACTGATGATAAATAGCTGCTGAAGGACAAGCTGATAGGAAGCAGTTAGGGCTGAATGGAAAGGGAGAAAAATCTATTTTATTTATTTTCAAGAAAACCTTTGTCTGGCACATGTTCATATTAAAAACAGGCGACATGCCTTCAGAAAAATTGTTGAAGAGTCCCACTAATAGCATAATTTGCATGCCCTGTGACTTATATGCCAAAGCAATGTCCATCCATCCATCCATTATCTTTACCCGTTTATTCCATTTTGGGTCACGGGGGTCGCTGGTGCCCATGTCCAGCAATCACTGTGTGAGGGGCGGGGTACACCCTAGACGGGTCGCAAGTCTATCACAGGGCCACATAGAGACAAACGAGACAAACAACCATTCACACTCTCACTCACACCTAGGGACAATTTAGAGTTACCAATCAGCCTAACATGAATGTTTTTGGTCTGTGGGAGGAAACTGGAGTATCCGGAGAAAACCCACGCATGCACGGAGAGAACATGCAAACTCCACCCAGAAAGGCCCCTGGACCGGGGTTTGAACCAGGGACCTGCTCGCTGAGAGGCAGCAGCTGTACCAGTTGCGCCACCGTACTGTCGCCAAAGCAATGTATTTATGGATATTTTTCCCATATTTATAAACCAATTTTTGGCTGAGATATCACCATTTTCATTAATTCTAACTGAAAATATTGAACACTACCATTTTCCAGCTGCTAGATGGCACCAGCGTGCTGTTGTGTCATGTAATAGGTAAAAGTGGCTATTAAGGACACAATCAGCTTGCCTTAGCCTTCCACCTTCATCCAGTTCGCTTGGAGCAACAGTCAAATCAGCTTTTGTCCCCCTGGTGAAATGCAGCTAATTTGACCACTGAAGTGCATTTATTAAGTAAAAGTTCAACTGGAAAAGTTAGACTGAAAGACACCTTTACTATAATTTAGAGCAAACAAATAACTGTTTTTAAGTGTTAATCTTGTTAAATTCTTGTTAAAGTCCTCCTGTGCACGCTCCTGCAGCCGTCATTTGGCAGCCAATCCATTTCTGGCACAACACCGGTCCACATTTGCGGGTTTGGCCCGCATTTTCAGGTTGTCAGTGGTGACGCGTAACAAACGCGACACGTCATAATAGATGCGACATATATGGTGAATCAACGTATTCATGTATTTTTCCACTTTATTAGACATATTTGAACTGATGCGACTTATCGGACGGTGCGGCGTGTACGGCGGAAAATATGGCACTTAAAAAAAAATAAAGCTGGGGTTTATCTATTTTGCCACATTGTCAAAATGGAAACATATCAACCATATTGTTTGAAGGCACAGTTATTACATCAGTGAGAAAAGGCTCAAAGGGCCATTTCCAAATATTTTTTTTCTAAGATATAATACCAGTTTATATGAGATAAAAGAAAAAAAAAGAAAGAAAAAAAAAAAGAATTCAAGTTATATAACTAAACCTCAACAGCGCTTAGTTTGCAGGTTATTTGTAACATTTTAAATTAGAGTATTAGTGTACAATTGTTACTGCAAATCTCTCTAAAAATAGATTTCATGACATGATCTGGCTTTTATTGTTGTTGAACCCAAGTACAGGCAGAGGCAGGAGGACTCAGGAGTAAAATATTAACGATTTATTTTACAATAAAAAAAGTGCTGACGGGGCAGCAAAATTTAATATTTGAAAAAAAAAAGGAGAGCGGACCAGGCCATGGACACTGTGGGAGTGTAGGTTGGATAGGTAATACCCAGATGCCAAGGAAGTGACAACACCTTGATTAAATACCATATGCTAATGAGACTAAGCGGGAACACCCTGGGTGATTGGAACTGGGGACAGGTGAGCACAGGAGCAGGCTACTGTTGTAACACTGTATTGTACATTATTAGTGTTTAATGTATATCTTAGATCTTTTAGCGTACCATTTGGTGTTCTTTAGCATATATCTTAGTGTATATCTTAGATCCTTACATATAGTTTCTTTTTATACTTTATGTTTTTGATATTTTTGGATGTAACTGGACCCAAAGAACATAATTGTGTTCCAACTCATGTACCACATGTGACAGTGGTGTAGTCTACGTGATACGCTGGTATACGCTGTATACCCACTAGAAAAGCTTGGGAATTTCCGCATGCACACTTAAAATTGCCCAGTAATATGTGACATATTGCACGTGTCATTATATTGAAATGTTGGGACGAAATGGGCCGTAAACACCCTCAGAGAACAGTGGTGTCCCTCTTTTTTTCTTGGGGGGAAGACGGTCTGTTTTTATTCTGCCAGGTGCGTGTGCCACCGCGAGCTGGGCTCCAGCTACGCAAAGCTAGTGGGAGTGACGCAGAGCATCGCCGGAACAAGGGCAAAGGGGGTTTTCAGAATAAAAGTTTAGACCAAATATTTATATTTTGACGTATCTAAAGTATTAGTGACGTTTGAAGCCACCAGTTCAAAGTTTTGAGAGCAATAAACAGCAAAACCATTATGAAACAATGATTCATGGTCACATTACTTTACATTAAATGTATTATTTTCAAACAACACAAATTGTAAAAAAAAAAAATAATAATAATTTAAAACATTCATGTTTACATGAGCCACTTGTCCAATTTACTTTGAACTAAAAGAAAATATCTTATAATAATAAATATGATACCATATTTGTGTGTATGTAACATATATCAATCTATTATCTTCTGCTTCCTAGGGAGGTGCTTCAGGGAAATCAAAATAAAATGACGATCACATTGTACTAAATGGTGTATTTTGGTTTCTAAGCACATTATACCTACTATAAAAATGTAAAGTACACCACTGACATGTGATGGAAATGATAATAAACTTGAACACGAGGAGAAGAAAAACACAAGGAGGTGCAGAAAGACAGGACAGACAATTGTCTGAAGAACATTGTCTTAATTACATTAAAACTAATCAAATTGTGAAGTACTGTGATGAAGTTTTCATTATATGGTTTGTTTTGCAGCTTTAAGACGTGGATATGCCCCGGCATTGTGTCAGCTTTAAATTCCACAGTGAATATATGTTTTCGAGAGTCAAATGTGAGGTCATTTTAAAATGTGGCTAAATTTTCATTATGCAATAGGACAATGATCCCAAACACATCAGCACATGAACATACAATAAGTGAATGTAAATAAACAAGGTGCTGCAACAATCCAGTGTAATAGATGATAACAGGCATTAATCACCAGCCTAAATTCGTAGATCCTGCTTCCAGCTGCAATTTAGTGAAAACAACCGAGTGGTGTAGCATTTTCTGCCTACAATGACTTTTACAGCACATAAAACAGCAGGCTAAATCACTAGATTTTATCAGCTGGCTTTTATTCTCCTTCAACTACATTATCCCCATGTGTTTACCTAACACTTTTTGTTTTCATGGTATATACCTTCAAGGCAACAGAAATAGCAATTGAAACTATAAGTTAGGTCTGAAAGCCAATAAAGCATTCATTAGTTTTCCATCTTGTAAAGTGTAAGTGCACTATGTAAGTGTTAGAAGTATGGGGCCCACATCTGACAAGAAAATGAAAAAGGTTTTATTGGAGCACAAAGTGCATCTAACAGTCTCCCTGTTATGTGGAAGTTCATATTTGAGAGACAAGATCCGTCTGTAACAGTGTTGAAGCTAATAAGCTGCATAACCCTGGAATTTATTTTTCACAGAGATAAGTGAGTCTAGCATTAGAAGCAGGAAATGCAAGAATAGAAAACACGTGAGTCATATGGAATGGAGTGATGATGACTTATAAACACGTGAAGGGAGTGAGAACTGAGAAGCAAACCTCATGAGCTGGCATTCTAAAAATGTGATTCATTTTGCTACAGTCTAAATTAAGAATGTGCAAAAAATTGGCTGACAAATAAAATGCCTGTGTATGCAAGAAAGCTTTAGAAACAGAGCTAAAACTGTCTTATTAGAAAAAAACTACACAGTGCATCTTAATTGAATTCAGTTTGATGAAAATCAAAGACATCAATCCTAACACTGTGCAATGAGCTTCAGCAGAATATATCCAGTCTTACATTGCAAAAAAAAAAAAAAAAAAAAAATCCTCTCATTTTATAACAATATTAAATACAAGCTGAGCACAGTTCTGATCCCTCTTTATTCTCACTATAAATGTTGTCCACCCGAGGAGACATGCCATCGTACCTTATGCTCTGCAGCTCCAGAATGTCTGGATCCGTAGCATTGAGTGAAGCCACGAAGCTGCCCACGGGGACGTTTTCCATCCTGGTGACTATCAAAGGGTCCGGCATGAATACTGGTCCCTCATTGATGTCCTCAACTGTCACGTGGACAGTAGCTGTGGAGCTGGGGCCATAGCCAACATTAGGAACCAAAAGATCCTCGTTCTCTACTTTGATAAGTAGTGTATGGAATGCAATGGTCTCGTAGTCTAAAGGCTGAAAAGGGAAAATAATTGCAAAGACTTGAAATAATTTGACATGTAATTTAGTTAAAATGAACAATGATATAAAATATGCTGTGTTTTACCTTGACAACTGACAGCATTCCTTCGTTATTGTCTGGATTAGTTTGGATCTCGAAGCTTTGTTTCGGATCTCCACTGATTATAGAGTAAATGGCTCTCCATGCCCCCGTGGCTGGATCGTCTCTGTCGTCGACTGTCAGGTTTACCACAACGCCCGTCGAACCCTCGTGTACATGGGCCTCAAACTGTAGGAAAAATACACAAGAACAAAAAAAAAAATCAACATTAGAAAGAAAAGACACATCAGGATTATGATTCAAGAGAATTGAAAAAGAAACAGGTTGGATAAAAAGAGATTTAAAGATTAAAACTTTATCCTTGTCCTTTTCTATGTGGTTTTAAATCCTAAAAGGCTGACAGAGATAAAACTCAGAACTGTAATTCCATTCTAAGTCAAACAGAAAGATGTAGAAAATGATTGGGTGCTAAAAATTTTCTTTTGAAAGCAAAAATTGGGGCAAAAGAATCAGCCTAGTTAATGATGAGCTTTAAACTTGCGTTAAAGAAATATGCCTTTTCCATATCAGCATAACTGTGTCGTTTGATGAACAAAAGGAGAATTAACTGAGAAAAAGTGGTGTTCCTGCTAAGTTCTTTGATCAGTGTCCTTTACATTTCTGCATGCATGCATTCGTACGTCACATACACCTGTCACGGATTTCTTTTGAGAAACAATGGTGACATTAAAAAAGGTTAGGAAAATGTTTGGTTTTGACATAAAACATTAACTGGAAAAATACTTTTATCAATGCAAAGAGAATGAGATCTGTGTTCCTCTGACTGAAACAATATCCTTTTTATTGACCGAGGTGCTGGTATCACCACCAGCATTCAGGGGTGTCATTCATCATCATCATATCATCATCATCATGTACCAATCAGACTGATGTAACAGCAATAAAAGGCAACTGCTCAACTTCTTCAAAAAAGAAATTTAACAAAGAATAAGCCTATTGGTCATTATGCTACTAGCAAATAGAAGTCATGTCAGCAATTTGAGTATATTGCATTGTCCAAAGCACAATCTTATAAAGTATTTTGTGTACAATATCATGTATATATGCAAAATAGAATATTATTTACAATAATATTTATATGTATGTATATAATACTGATGTTAAGTTGTGCTTTTTCCTACTATCTGAAAGAACAAGTGAAAACAATGCCAACAGGTATCTGTGCAGTGAAGTTCTTGATTACTTGCATAGAGTCAACATATACAGTAGTAGATAAGTACAGTAGTCCCTCGCTACTTTGCGTTCGACTTTCGTGGACTCGCTTTTCGCGTTTTTTCTACGTAAGATTGTACATGACACACGATTGTCAACTTTAATATTACTCACGTAATTGAGACAGTACGAGATAAAAGTTAACGGGAGTGGACAGGAGCAGGAATCAACCAATAGGACAAAAAACAAAACAAAAAAAGCCCTATACTTCAGACAGGTGCCACCATTTGTAGTTTTCTTTCAATAAGTCTATACTGTAGCGCAAGTCAAAATAACTACATGGCCCAGAAGCCAACAGTGCTTCCAGCCACTGCTTTCTGCCAAAATAGAGGGATAGTTTTACAACGTAAAGTCAGAAGTAACAATCTATCTAATAAGTTCAGAGAACTGGCAGGAAAGTCCAAATAATCCTGAAGCCCCATTAGCCACGCACACATCAACCTGGATGGGGTGGTGCGCTTCGTCGCTGCAGGGTAGGTCTGCTGAACTGAAACCGAGCCTGACTGGAACCAAGCTGCTGGTCTGAAGAGCTGGTGAGTACCCATATACAATTTTGCAGTACTGTACAGTACATATACGTGTGTTGTTAAAATTACATGCGCTTATAACTTTGTTAAGAACATCGCAAAAGTGTAGGAAGGGTTTATAAAACCTTTATATATATATATATATATATATATATATATATATACTAAAATAAATATAACGTCCCTACTTCGCAGATTTTCACCAATAGCAGGGGTGTCTGGAACGCAACCCCACAATAAGTGAGGGACTAGTGTATGTCTATAGTCTGCAGAAAAGGGATTATTGTGGACTAAAGTGAAATATTCCTTATTGCACTTAATGGACTTTATCGTCTCTATGGGAACAACATTTTACATTTCACTTTGTAATTTATGTATAAGCTCATTAGTTCACTAATATTGTAAAACCATTTTTTGCTCACAACTTTTCCAACAAAGTTAACTTCTTTGTCAAAGTTATATACATGCTTTTTGACACTTTGTTATTGTAGTCTGATTAAATGTTACCTAGTTGTTTATGATTACATGTATTAGTAGTGTATTTAAATACAGTTAAATTCTGCCATCTGTTGCACTAATTCCTGTTCACACTATTCTCTTCTGGATCGCTATTTTTACTGTTAGTGCTGTTTATTTAGTGTTCCGTTTATTTTTATGCTGTGTGTTTTTACACGTTTTAATTGCCATGCATAATTATATATATATATATATATTTTTTACCATTTATAATGTACTTAATTATTCACTTGTTTAGACTGTTCCTTTGCAGTACCCAGCCTTAAAGTAATTTCCCTCCCAGGATTGAAAGTGTCCTTCTACCCATGTATTCATTCATGCATCCATCCATTTATCAAACTGTACATTCATTTCTTCATTCATCGTATCCTTATTATTTAGTTTTGAACAAATATTTTGAAATTTGTAACATGCTGATTAACAAATTTTACTTAATTGTGCCCGGTTGATGCCTATTAGCTGTTAACAAATCAGTCGTGTGTCGACTTTTATCATAACAAGCTTAATTTACAAAACTAGTGTCTTTGCTCTAATGCCACAAAAAATTAATGGCCTATTCTAATGTAGCTATCCTAGACCATTTCTACAGTGTTAACTAAGCAGTAAATGGCAATAAAACCTATGCATTTAGGATGGCTTTTATTGTGAAATACATTACTCATTTGAAGTAGCTGTCTACAGGCTCCACAAAATCGAAGGAGATTAAGAAAAGGAAACACTGTAAACCGGAATTCCCTGGATGATATACATACTTGGACAAATAGTACACACAACAAAATAAATGCTATTTACGTCCACCACATCTCAGTCCTCACGGTGCATCTCATTTCTTTGTCAGCGTCAGTCACTTCCCACCTCACTGCTCATTGTTAGCAGCAGACCTCAATCAGATTCTTATCAATGCATACTGCCAGAATGGATCCCACTAAAGACTTGCAATGTGATCAGGGTTCGCCTTGCAGAAGCTTTGGGAAGGCAGAAGCAATTCTGTAGGTGTGTGCACATGCGTGTGTGTCAGGACCATTATTGTGTCAGAGCTTACAGCGTAATCTTTCAGTCACAGAGCAGTCTGTTTAAGGATAGCGTTTGGTCCAGCCCAGATTACTGTGTCTCCTGTCAGCCCCTTGTATTGTTGTTACACAGATTAGCCTCTTACTACCTTACACTTTCTTGCTCTGCACAGGAAGAGAAATGAGCATTGATTTTTCTCTCGTTCCTTTCTTTCCTTCCTTTTTTATTCATCAAAAGCTTGTTTAGAAATGCCCTGTACCATTTACAATCATTTAGGTTACATAGGATCAAACATGTCTTTAAAAGAAGGAAGCTCTGTTCATTCCCAAATCTGCATTGGTAGGATTTTTTTTGTCTTGCAAGCCTGTGGCAGTTTGGTACCTGGATGTGGCAGTGAAAGGTGTGCTTATTTATTTATTTAAATTTTTAAGCTATGCAAATAAATGCAATGATAGATTAATCAGCAAAAAAAAATCTGCTTTAATGAAAACACCAAAACAGTGAATACATTTTAATAAATAATAGTTTGTCTTATCGATTGGTACGCTAATGTCCCTCATCACTGACGAGTTGGATAGGAAAAGTTTGTATAGTTTGAGAGATTTTGAGTGTTTTTCTGGACTTGAACTGGACATGGAATGCATATAAACTTTATTGTTTTTTGTTCAAAATAGTTAAGTGGGTATAGGAGTTACAGTGTGTATAAGACTAGAGGTTGGCTTTCTTTGTTTTTGATTTTGGCTTGCCCGAGGCAACGCAGAGTGATGGATTCTGGTGGGAGCAATTTTACCTACCACCAGGCACAAAGGAGAAGCCAGGGGGTGGTCAGTGGTGGCCTTGGCCATCATACATTAATCTTTGGCCATCCCAATAATTTGAGGAAACTATGGTTTAGGCATCCTGATGCATGCTCAATAATCCAGGTAGAAGAATCTAAAAAAAGTTAATTCTGGTCCTCTGGACATTCAAAAAACAAAACAAACAAACAAATGTAGAAACGTTTCGTCTTTCATCCAAAAGACTTCTTCAGTCTTCAGTCTGGTCCAGACGACCAGACTTATTTTTTTTTAAATATGTTTTAGGCAAAATAATTATTTTTTAAAACAGTTTTCTAAAAATAATAATAATAATTGATATACTAAATTTTTTATTGTGACCTTTCTTATTCTTAGACACAACAACACACCAAAAATGGAAGTCTGCATGTTTATTTTTTTTGGAGTTATCCAGCTCACAAGACAGCCAGAAACACATACGGTGGCAGCCATCTTGGATTTTTACATGGCAACCCAATTTTTGATAGGAATTGTTCTTATGTCTCAACGTAGCCACACACAAATTGAAGTACCTCACTTATTTTTCAAGCTAACATGCTCACAAGTGCAGACGGACGAACAGGGGGCATTTTCAATTCTCCCTCTTTGTCCTGCGACGGGGAACAAAAAGATGAAAGTTGCCTAGAGAAACGTAGAGTTAAAACACAGAGTGGTTTCTATTTGCCATTTTCTGTCTCTGAACTTCAAACAGGTTCAAATAGATTAATGTTTGTGAGCAAGTTCATATCATTTCTGTGTCAAACACTAACATAAGACACATCCACCTCGACCCTTACACACACACACACACACACACACACACACACACACCCCACACACACATACAGTACAAACACAGTTCAAACAATCGGTCAGACTGGGTGTAATCATGAGGGGCAGTCAAGCGGATGGAGAAAACCCTGTATTCTGTGTGATCTGGCCACTGAGCCTCTGCCCCACTGCTGATAAGGCTTCAATTCTACCTACAGCACAAAGCATGCAGTCACCTGAAAGACTTGAAGGAAATGACTAAGAAAAACTAACAAGAGAACATGGCCTGAAATGACTTAAACACACTAAGAGAAGA